TACATATATATATACATATATATATATTTTTTTTTTTTTTGAGACAAGGTCTTATTAAGTTACTAAATTGCCCAGGTTAGGCTCAAACTTGTGACCCTCCTATCTCATCCTCCTAAGTAGTTGAGATTACAGAAGCACACCACAATGGCTGGTGCCAGGCCAGCTCTTATGCACCAAACTCTGGATCTGATATAGCATTAGGATTCAAAAGTAAATGTATCCTTTGCCTCCTCCACACACATATTCCAGTCAATGTCTAGTAAGCACTTCTAGGATCTACCAGCTTACCATGTTTGGGATAATGCTAAAACAACATGGATTTTTAATAACTTTCTGGAGAGAAACTTATCTGGGTGCAATATGCCAATAGCCCACCTTTGACAATCAACTCCAGACCAATGCTCTGTCTATTATCACCACAACCCAAATCATCACCTGATTATTTTTGGTTGTTTCTTTCTTCCCAGGTGATGGTTATGAATAGCAGTGAGACAAACCAAAACAACGGTTTCTTCCAAAGGCCAATAATTATCTTTTATAATATGTAAAGAGGGACAAATAAGAAACAAAGAGTCAAAAATCTTCCCACCACTTTCTCTCTTGTACCCGATAGAATGGGGCTGCTTACATGTGATGAGCTCAGGCACACAGAGAACGTGGCCTTCAAATATAGAACTTCTCAAAGGGCAGGGATGGATTCATGTTCAGCACACCCTTTGACATGAGCCAGAGCTATCAAATGGCAGCAGACACTTCTGCATGACACTTAGTTTCTGAGTGGCATTTCTCTGGAGGGGCTTTCACTCTAGTCTTGGGGATAAACAACATGCATATGGTGATGAAAGAATCTGCTGCTCTGGGGAAAGAGGTGTGCAAATATTCAGCCCATTTGCAATTGTGGCTACCAAAGCAGGCTCAACCAGGAATCCTGTAAGTCCATAAAGCAATTTGGATTTTCAAATCCTTGACCATCTGTTCCCACAGCTATTCAGTTCCTGCAAAACCAGATGAATAATAAAAGATGGACAGGAGACAAGGGGATGGATTGCTTGCAAATGGGAAAGGGCCCAAGAGACCAATGGCGAGGAGTAAGGGAAAGAAATAAGTAAGGAGTAAGGGAAAACGAAATAAGTAGAATAAAGATATGCCATGTACAGGAACCTAACAACCTTGAAGAATGCAAACATTACATGCCATGGACATGTGCTAGGATTAACAATATCAACAAGAATGAAAATGGGGAAAGGGAAGTTAAAGGAGGGAGGGAGGGAGAGGGAAAGAAAAGGGGATTATAAAAAGAAACAAGTTGTATTATATACATGTACACACTCCTCAAGATAATTATAAGCTGCATGTACTGCAAGAATGTGCTAATAAGAAATAAAGAAATCATGCTTATGCATAAACTGCATTAAAGAAGATGAAACACTGGAAAATCTATGTATCAGTTAAATTGTCTGTATTTCCCACTTCCTCTCTCCCAGCCAACTACTTACCTCTGAGCAGCCACAGTTGCAGCAGCATCCAGAGCAAAATGTCTCATCACATTCTCTTCCAAATACTTCTGCTCCCACTTTGTCATATCAGCTTCCAGGGCCAGAATCCTCTCTTCCTTTTCTCGCAGGAGCTCCATCAGTGCAGCAGCATTGTATTCTGAAATGTTGGTGGGTTGAGAGTTGCCCTGGCGCTGTCAGGAGAGATACAAAGACTTCTGAGTTTAATAAGAGAATCACCATTGGTGTCTCAGCCCCATTTAAAAAGCCCCTACTTTTAAGAAGGAAATAAGGGAATATTGCCCAAATTATATCAGGTTGGACCTTTTCTCAGGGCAGAACTAAGGATCAAACCCAGGGCCTTGTGCATGCTAGGCAAGTGCTCTACCATGGAGCTACAGTCCAACCCACTAGTTTGACTTCTGACTCAGAAAGAAGCAAGGAAATGCAGCCAAAATACTTGGGATTGAGTATGAGTCTCCCTTCATCAGAAAGAGCTTGCCACATAAAATGTTCATGTTTGCTCAGAAAGTGGATCAATGGGGTAAAATCTGCTGACCCTATGAAATAGGAATTTTTTAAATTTAGGATTTCGTTCCTTACTTGTCCTTAACGTGTATGATCATGAATCACTCAATCTTTTCTGAGTCTCGATATTTCTCTGAACCCGAGAAGAGGTATGGTCACATGATTTCTAATGACGATTTCCAATTCTAAAATGTTGCTGAAGAAATGGCTCAGTGGTACAGCGCTTGCCTAACATGCAAGAAGCCCTGGGTTTGATCTCCAGCACTACAAACAGGCACAATTTTCAAATTTGTAAGTCTATTTATATAGCTGCTTTATTTCTTACATGATATGTAGTTTTGGTTCTTATGAAAACAAAAGGTGAAGGCCATAAGCATTAAGGGTTTTCGTGGGACAGGAAGCCAAGGAAGCAGCATTGTATTTACAATGGGGAAAGCGGCCTGGCATAAGATGAGGTAGGGCAAAAGTATAAAGATGAGCATACATTTACTTTGTGTCCCTACCAAACACCATCTGAAAAGTGAGTAATCAGGAATCACCCACCCTCTCTCTCCTCCTCCTTTTAATTTCTCCATACCTGCTGGATTCTAAGAGATTCCAGTTCCCTCTCCAGTCTTGTCCGAAGACGGTGCTCTAGCTGCTCCCGTTTCTCACATGCTGCCTGGAGTTGTAGAAGGGCCTGCTGCATCTTCTCCACCTTATCTACGTATACCTGCTTCTTTTTCAACTAGAAACCCAGGTTGGGAGATTTTCAGATGGAGAGAAAGAAAGCAACAGGGTCATTTACAGAAACTCCCAAATCCAACCTAGTGTTTAGAACTCATCCTATCCTATGTTGCCTTGTATTTCTCATGCACAGAATGTGGAGAAAGGAATTAAGAGCCCCTCTTTAATCTCTTTGTCCCACCCCACCTCTTTGACTTCCCTAAGTCTATCCACTTCAGAACAGTGTGTTTTAGAGGGCAAGCTTTTCACATCCCCCCTTATGGATATACTTACCTGTGTTCTTCACTGTAAACTTGAATATTTTGGGCGAAAAGAATATCTTATTTGAGTTGTAACAGTATAAAAGTGCTATGGAGAGGGGAAAAGAGCTTTCCAGGAAGAAGGGTTCAATTTTGTATGAAAAAACCTATCCCTTCTTATACAGCTGTCTCCTTTCCAGTTGGGAAAAAAAGAGTCAGCAATTGATGAAGGTACAAAGAGGCCAGAGTTGCCTTTTTGAACTCTGTCCCCAGAAATTACTCAGCATAAATTTCTTCTATTTATCAAAAGAAAATCTGCCACTCAATGGTTCAGATCACTGGCCCACTTGTTTTTTCACTAAAAGGTCACAGGGTATGTGCAGTTTGTATCTCACAACCCTATGTTCATGATTTTGGACTATAGCCTTCCAACTTTATTCTGGGACCTTCAAACCTCCCTAAAGTCTCAAATTAAAGAATTACATCTACTTTACATTATCTATTATACATTTTTGTCCTTATTTACTGCAAGAACCAAGATATATCATGTACAGGTATAGATTACCAGTGATGAATGTGATCATAACATATACTTTAAATGTACCACTAAACTTAATGAAATTAAAAATAAGAATTATATCTAAGACTGAGTTCAACATGATGCTTCGTCTTTGCAAGCCTATAAGCCATATCCCAAAGCAAAAGTGGAAGCAGGTTGGGTACCCAAGGAACTTACAAGCCAAATCTTGGTTCCATGGGAATGAAGGAATGAGGAAGCTCTCAAAGCTCTCTAAATAAGTTACACACATTTTCAACACCAAAGAAGACAGGAAAGGGCAACCTTCCCACTTTGTTAGCAAAAGAACAGATTTTGCTTCTCACAATAGGGTCCCCCTCAGGGCTAATAAATGAATCTGTAAACAGTTTCCAAAACAGAAATTCTTCCAAGTGGGGCACATCTGTCATTATCATTCCCATAGAAGCTAAGGTTAGGGATACTGCCACTGTTAAGATTAAAACCGAAACTTTTACCAATAAACTGCTTTAGGAGAAATTCTGATATTCAACTCTAACTTTTCAACAAATCTCTGAGCCTTTGAGGGGCCTAGGCAGACTATAAGAAGTTACCACGATAGCACCACTGGCCACACTCATTTTGCTAGGGCCAAGCCTATAAGATCAATGTGACTCTCCCATTGGAGAAAATAGGTAACTCCTTAAGGACAGTGAGTTCAAATCAACATTTTCTAGAACTTCCAGTGAGATGGCTCTGGCATGTACAGGTGGAGAAATGTTCCTTGTTTCAGAACTGCCCCCATTCCCAAAAATTTTTGCTCAACTTTGTCCAGGTGGAAAGAAACTTATCTTAAATTTCCTACCAGGCCTGTAGTATGTTTTGGCTAGGAAACTTTAAGATTAAAAACTTGAAAAAAATTTTTTTTTCTATACTTGATATTTCATTTCATTCCGGGCCCACTTCAATCTAACCTTATAAACTAGTCAAGGTAAATTCTAAGCCTCCATGTTTTTATCCATTAGATTTTTTTTCCAAGGAAATGAAGCAAACAAAAAAAATCATCATACACTTTCTCTCAATGAGCTTAAATCCTTCTTTCCTGGGGTACATGACGATTGGTTAACAACACTAACTAGGTCAACTAAAACTTAAAATTTCATACATGGTGATGCCTCTGCCTTTCTACTTTGCTAAGCTTTGATTAACTGGGGAGTAGAAAACATTCTCTATCCTTCACCTTTGGGATTCTATAATCTTCACAAGCTATTTAAAGTTGAATGCATTTATTCAGGAATCACTCTGAAAATCCTTAGGGAGCAGTGCAATGTTAATGCAGAGAATGTTAACTATTATTACAAAGGCTTATAGCAGTTATACTTAAAAGGCAAATTCAGATAGCATGCACTTCTTGTCTTGATGGTAAAGTATTGTGATACAAGTTCAGAAAACTTAAAATAAGCAATACACAGGGCCGGGTATATTTCTCCATGCCCTGCTGCTTTTCTTGAAAATAGAAACCTAAATATTTTAGCAAAAGTCCCCCTAGCAAGAGATGTCATTAGGTTAACTTCTTGGAAGGGGATAAGATCCAGGAAGTTCTCAGAATTGGTTGAAGATAGACATGCAGGTTAGTTAAATTCCACAAAGCAGGGCAAGAAAATTCCCCTACAGTTTGCCATTGCAATGATTTTCCCCAAGGTAATATCAATACCATAGCCAGAATAATTATTCTACCTCCTTTAGAAGAAAAAGAGTATAGTTCACCCATAAACACCACAATTACTTAGTAAATGCTTTATCCCTAGGTCTAAAGTTAGTAGAGGAAAGGACAATTCTTAGATGCCACCCTACAAGTCATCATAGGTACAACCAACAAAAGCAGCCATATTCTAAGTTAGACTTTGTTTACTAGATCTCGTACACAGAGAAAGAACAAGTATCTACAAGGTTTAATCCTGTTATTGTCCTGCATTTTAATCTTCACTTCTACCTTCAACATGATGAATCCTTTTTCTTCTCTCCTCCTTTATAAATGTATCTCTGGTGCTAAGCTTTGAAATATTACATCAGTAATTGACACAGCCCAACTTCTCCTCCCAATGCCATCAGAAATATTAGTGCTTCCTTCTTTTGTAAAGAGAAAGGCCATATAGTAAAATGGTTAGTGAATAGTCCAGGCTTCTAATTGCTCAAGTCCAAATCCTGGCTTTCTCACTCACTAGCTACCCAATTTGAGACAGGTTATTTAAATCTATCGGAGCTAACTTTTAAAATTTCTCCCCCGAGCTTACACTTACTCATTCATCTGTAACATGGAAATAATGATAATGTGATGTACCTCTACAAGGATCAAATGAGATAACAAATGAAGGGCTTAGTAGAGTGTTTGGTACAAAAAGTACTCAGGGCTTGTTCTCTCTTATCTCGCCTCTCTCTCTCTCTCTCTCTCTCTCTCTCTCTCTCTCTCTCTCTCTCTCACACACACACACACACACACACACACACATCAAAACTTTTTATTTGACAATACAATGCAAGTTAAATGAACAAGATGGTAATTAGGAGACTGGGGTTCTAAACCTGTCTCTATTGTTAATGGTAACTTGCTTTTCTGTTCTGAACCATAGAGTCTTTGTTTCTTAAAAAAGAATGGGAATAGGGAGTGTCAAGAAGCAGAAAATCAAAATGGTCAGCAACAAGTCCAATGTAGCCATACCCATTGATTTACATGTTGTTGGCGGCTGCCATCCAGTTACAATAGCATAGCTCAGTGGTTGCACTTGCAACAGAAACTGCATGGCTAACAAAATCTAAAACTATTTCCTGTTGGGTCCTTTACAGAAAAAAAAGTGTTTGCTAAACCCTGGAAAGCTTTGCAAACTGTGTTCCACAGTCCTAATATTTTCTGTGTGTGGGTGTCTATGGAGCCACTATGGTGAGTGGATTGTGTTAAATGGCTCCTCTTATTGTGTTGTATTTTATATATTAGGGTTGTAGATAAAACTTGATTTGAAAAAAAGATTTTCACAGCTTTGTGTATGCAATGTGTGTGTATACATATTTATATTCATTATGTGTGTTGTGTGTCTTCTCTAGAGAATGGGTCTACTACCTTATCGCTGCATAATCTTTTCATAATTGATGCACTGATATGATTAAATCATTTAATGTTCCCAAATAAACTTTGGTGTTTCACCCCTCATTGCCTTTGGACATAATATTCTCTTAGGAATGCTTTGCCCTATGAGGTTTTAAGAAGTTAAAATGAAAGCATAAAAAATCACTGGGCTGGACATAATCTAAGATGACCTCCAAAGATTTTTTAACCCCCAAATTCTTTTGTGATTCTAAATTTCCTTTACACTTTCAACAATGACCAATATCCACTGAGGCAAGTTCCTAGAATTCTGTATAGCCACATTCTTGGACATAAAAACAAATGTATTGCTTCAGTTTTTGTGTATATATGTAAAAGAGATAGACCCTATAACATGTATACTCTCCACAGGATCCTAGAATATTTACTTTTCTATGTCTTCAATGTTTATTGAAGTGAAGATTCATTTAAAAAGTTCCCAAAGCCACAGAAGTATCTCAGATCTTCACATGGAAAATGAGTTTTCAGAAAAAGATTAGTTGCTCTGAATTTCTAACTGAGACCCATGCCCAGCCCTTAGAAGAAGCTAAGTAAAAAAAAATTCCAGCATTTCAACCAATCTCCTCCTGGATATTACACGAACAGAGGCAATTATTCCATCCATTTAAGGCTTTATTTTTTTAACCAAATGTCAGTTTTTAAAAACTTATTGAAGACTCCCTTCCCTTGCTTTCTTTATGTTCACTCAATGTGGTTCCTCATACCATCTTTACCCTTTATCTTGATTTTTAGATCCACTTTTTCCTCTACCCCAACCCGTATATAAGACACAGTTGACTTTTATTTTCCCTGTGGTTCTCAACTGAAGGTGATTCATCCCCAGGGGATATATAGCAATGTGTGGAGACATTTTCAGTTCTCACATTTAGGAATGAGTTGCACCTGGTTAACAAACACCAGTCATGCTGATAAATGCCTCATAATATATAGGACAGTCCCTGCCTCCCATGAGTACCAAAGATTTATGCAATTCCAAATATCAGTAACTTCGAGGTTGAAAAACCTAGCTAAACATTTAGCACTACTAGACATCTTATTTATGCCACGCACTTTTTTTTTTTTTTGGTACCAGGGATTGAACTCAGGCC